ATTCCATATTTTATCCAATTTTATTCCATTCTATTTCTATGTAAATACTGTAATATTTTACTATATTTGTTATTATTTTTAATATTTCTCTCTATCTGTGTTTTACTTTTATGTATGCATCATGACATCAAGTCACATTCCTCGTACGTGTCAGCCTACCTGGTAATAAAACTGATTCTGATCCTGATTCTGATATCACTCCACTGGGTCACATGACATGGAGCTTCCTTCAATTTCCAAAAACGTTCTACAAATGACACTCGCAGTAATGAATGTACTGCTGCTGGATGTGATTTATCGCTGCATCCCACCCTCAGTTAAAACGTGTGAAGTCATGTTTGAAAGGAGCCTGGGGCTGTTATGTGGCTGCAGGGGCTTGCGTCCGGGCTCAGGGCTATTCTCTGGATGTGATGAGCATTTGGTATTCCTGGGTTATTCGGTGGCCGAGCCCCTCTGTGATCCAATCTGAGGAGGGGGCGAGTGACCCAGACTTAGCTCGGTGTGAGGAAGAGTAATTGAGGATGAGAGACAGAGGGAGAGGAGCCGAGACTGTCACAGGATCTGACCTCTTCTGTACATACAGTACATGCCTCACTCACACAATCACACATACATACACACACTAACCTACTCTAAATCTGGCCTCGCTGTGACATATGCATGAGAGCGTGGAACAGAGGGAGGGATATTTAGATAGATAGATCTTTCCATCTATTTTAAATCTAGATGATAAAAGGTGAAGAACTTCAGTAAAAACTGCTTTTAAGGATTTTAAGTCACTAGTATAATTGTAAACTCCACAAAGCAGTGAATATTGGGATCTCCTCCCTCCAGATATTTATGTCTTTGAAATTGACGGAGAACAAGCATTCGATTTTGTGAGAAGCGTCTGTACGTAACACTTTAAAAGTTCAATCTTATTTGAATCCAATACAGTAGCACTTACAATAGTTGGGCTTATTGATAGTGTTGAGCATATTTGTATAATATCAAAGTCATGTTTATGTTCATGTGTATGACATCATCATAATGTGCCTAAAACGTGGTGATGCTAATGAGCATGCGCAGAAACAATAAACGGCTCTTACTCCAGGCCAAACTCTGAGCGATAGTGGTCGTGTGTTTTTCTGTCCGTTAGCATACTTACACTACTTTGGCTAACTGGAAACGTGGAGACGTCTGCTGAATTATGTCTCACGCAACAGATAGCTAATGAACTTGCAGATTGTTTTCAGTTTTGAGTTTGTTTCTTCATAGTTGGATTCACCTATCTTAAATTGATTTGGATAGAAAGTGTCAGCTAAATGAGATTTAATTTAATTCTGACCCTGAGAGATATTGTATAGCGCCACTATCAAGCCAGACTTTCAATTTTAAAAGAGCAATTGTTCCATTCATTAGCTGTACATTTGAAATGTACTCTACATACTTATGCTCCCAAAACTTAGAAACCCTCTGATTTTGGTTGGGCTCCCGGTATCCTCCCCTGCTCACAAGGAGGAAAAAACAAGCGTAACAAAACAGAACTTAAAGTGGACCTATTATGCTATATTGGAAAAATATATTGTGGGGCCATACCTATACAACACATGTCTGTGAAGTTTTTTGCTTAAAATACCTAACAGTTCACCCATTGTAGCTATGCCTCATGCTCATACCCCTCTTTTGCAGCCCTGTTAGAGAAACGCGAATTTTGGGTCCTAAGCTTGAAAAAAAAAAAAGAGGAGGCGGAGCTAATGCCCGATCAGAATTCTACCGGAGATAAAGTTAAATTCTGCCGTGATAAAACGCCATCCTGTTCTAAACCACATCAAAGATTATTTCTGAAACAGTATGGAGCTCAAATGCTTT